GGGGGAGTGAGGGGGTAGGGGGCAGGGGGGGGGGGTTCATTTTGCTTGACACTCTACCAGGTGCTGCTCCTAGCAGCAGCGAGCTCCAACACACCAGCAAGTGGCCCATAGACACCGCAGTCGCCAGATCGCAGTGTTTGAGAAAGCCCTCAGTGGCTTTCACTAATAGATGTTATAAAGCAAAGAGTTTAACATTTTAAGTAGGTATCTATTTGTAACACACGGCCTAGCAGATGGAGCAAGGTCAATGAGATTAATGAATGCCATCTTTTTAACTGCTGCATATGTGGGCACCACAATCCAACCCAAGACGTATTTGGAGCTTTCAGGTGCAACAGCATCTTTCGGGACACCAGAGTCCATATGGCAGGTTTTCATAGGCAACATTAATACCAGGCATTAAGCCAGGTCAAGGACAGATCAGCAACTCATAAAACTCCTTGTCTAGTCATGCATTACATTTTCTATTCATCATCTTTTGCTAGCTCTTCAGAAATATACCATCAGCGCAGAAAAAAAATCTGCTTCAAAGAGAAGCAGATTTCAGTATTTTATTACTTCTGTATATTACACCAGATGCATTAACAGTACAGTAATTACTGAAATTAGCACAGAATTATTGAAACAGATGATTGAATGTGCTAGCTCTGCCTACAGTTAAAGACACCCTCATATTGCTCCTATCAGATTAAATTTTATTTCAGATAAGCAAGTCTGAGATACAAGAGACAAATATTCATTGACAAAAATCTAGCCAGATTCACTGAGATGACCCAAGGGAAATTAAAAAGCGCCACATTTCAGACAGAAAGTAAAGCACCATCTGTGCAAGTCCTCCTCAAATGAGTTTCAACAAAGCAGCTTAAAAGCCTAATACCTAAGAACTCCATAAATGTTAAAGGGATAGCAAAAAACACGCAAGCTTCTCAAATACACTCTCTTTTTTTCCATAAAGAATGAAGATCCACCTTTTATAGACCTGCATTTATGACAAATCTCGGACACAGAGAAAGGAACACCAGGCACCCATTTGCCCAGTGAAGTGGCATTGTGGTCTCAGTAGCGAGATGCCAACGCAGAGCACACAGAAGCTCCGGATACTCAAAGCCACACCTGATCAGCCAGACAGCAGAGTTCAAGCAGGATTCAACTCAGGAGCTCAGGAACACCGCTAAGGGAGAAATTCTTGAGAATAACAACTAATTTGCTCTTAAAACTTTCAATGCAGATGCTAGGCCTCGGGTTTCTTTAACAACCAAAAAGAGAATGTCATCATTTTGCAGGTGCCGCTATTGGCAGGGAGTATTTGAACACAGAAACTGGCAGAGCAGATGAGACTGGGCTTTTTTTTTTTTTTTTTTTTTTTTTTTTTTTTTTTTTTTTTAAATCCAATATCCTGTCTTCTACAGAGGCTAATGCCAGATGCTTCAGAGAAAGGTGCAAGAAACCCCACAATCTCCCAGAGTTGGGAATTGCCTTAAGACTTGAAGCAGAATTCTTAATGTAAATTTGGAAGAGCTATTAACATTTAGTTACCCATGTAAAATTCCCCCTTATTTTTCATGGGTTTATGCATTTTTGGCCTCGATAAAATCCTACAGCAATAAATTCTGATTTTAAATCATACTCTTTCATGACAGTTTTTGGTCCGTTTACAAGTTTCCCACATTTTCATAAAAGAGAACACATTTTCGTTCAGAGATTTGAAGGTGTGTTGCTATTCCATGATCCCCTGTCCATTGTTCATTGTTTTTAGATACTTCAATCACAGCCCTCTATTCCCTGGTGAAGGCGAGGTGAAGTTCAGTAAGTTATCATCACTTTTATACTTGAGAGGGTTTGTGGGGTTTTTTTTTTTCACGCCCTAAAGACAGTCGGACTCCCTTTTTAGAAACTGTCTTTTATTAGGGCTTGTCCCAACCAAACAGGAACCACAGACATCAGCTCTCACAGACCAACTGTGGAAATGAGCTCATGGATCACCCCTACACCAAAGGATGCTGCTATCCTTTGCGAGCCCCAGTTATTTCTGCACAGCAAGCTTGTTATTTGCTCTCAACCAGCAAGCTTGTGAAGCTTCTCGTACATACATAGAAACGACCTCATACATTCATGTTACAAGTGATTTTCATAATTGCAACAGCCTGTGTGGAACAGGACATTTAACAAAATTAAGCAAAATTACAAAGCAATGCAATTACCTTCCACAGCTACAGCCCAGGCCTGTTTTAAATCAAGGTATTAAAAGGAAAACTGACTTTTTACTCATGTGCATGAAACCCATCCACTTTCACATACCCAGAAGTCCAGCATCTACCCATCCACTTTTGCTTTAACATTATATGTAAAACACAGAATTAGAAGTCAAAGTCACCCTGTTCTTCCTCCTCTTCCAAAAACTTTATTTCTATCTGCCAAGGTACCAAAATAGGGAAGAAAAGTGTTCACAGTTATATCGGAATGATACTGTCTGGAGTAAATCAAAATGCTATTAAATCACCTTTCTTGTTTGCAGCATTCCTTACATCAGCAGACTCAAAGCAATTAGGAAACACATACTATCATAAATAGCCCAGCAAATCTAATTGCTGAAAATCAAGGAGATTTCTACAAATTTAATGTTCAGACGATGATGTCTTAAAACTCAAGAATTCAGAACTCCCCGCAGTACTTATGAATGGGAAAAGGAATTTCGACAGCAAACAGATGAGGCAGACTCATCCAATAACTGAGATGTTATATAAAATGGTCAAAACCAGCTCACCTCAAATGAAGCCCTGGATCAAACAGGTTCAAAGTTCCAATTTTCAAAACTTAGCAAAAGGTGAAGTTTCTTCTACGTTTGATGATTATACAGATTCACCTGTGTATTTTGCAGGAGGAATCTGATCTCAACCACCTTACAGACGAGCAGATAGTTTTTGCACGAAACCCATCACACTGAAAGAGACTTCCATATAAAACTCCAAGCTTTGAGAAGAAACTGTTCCTGATTCCTTGAAGATTAGCATGCTAGTAAAGTATCAAGTATTTCTTAACAAGATTTTAAATCTAACCTTTTAGCTAACCTTCTTCAAAAAGTTCCTTCACGCATAGATGTTCACTGATTACATGAAACATGAAGGATCTCTGAAACACACTTCTTGGAGAGTTTCAAATGCTGCACTTCTCTCAGAATAGCTGCAATGATACGGGAGATGCACAAACTAATCTCAGTCATGCCCAAAAGCGGGGAGGACTACAGGCATCATGGAAATTCAGAACAGTGCTGCTTTGTTTACTTCTTTCTTTCATCTGTCACTCCAAACCTCTACTTAGCCAGAAGCAGATCCTAAAAATAATGACATTCCCCCAAAGTATGCTGCCTATACGTCCAGATTTTCCAGGACTTGTTGAACTAGACTGTGGAAAACAAGAGGTTCATGGAGTACTTGGAGCCTGGTCAGTTTAGCACAGCACAAAATACTAGGACGCCATTATGAAAAAAAAAAGTGATGCTGGGGAGACGTCTTTGAGCTAGAGCAAATGCTCTACCGACTTCTGCAAAGAGCTGGTGTCCATAAAGGTCTGCTGAGATCGGACACTAGTCTATGTGCTGTACAGGGACTATTACAGGCTTTGGTGCATCCCTGGGCACCACACTTCTGTCTCTGCCTTTCTTACCCGGTGTCCAAGTCCAGGCACACACTGAACCACAGCAAGAATGGAAAGGCAAAGAAAAAGCCTCAGCATTGCTTAAAGCAGATGCACCGACAAGGAAAGAGTCACAACCTCACTCCCCCAAGACCACAGAATCACAGAATGGTTTGGGTTGGAAGGGACCCTAAAGATCACCTAATTCCACTCCCCCTGCCATGGGCAGGGACACCTCTCACCAGCCCAGGTTGCTCAAAGCCCTGTCCAGCCTGGCCTTGAACATGTCTAGGGATGGGGCATTGCAGATGTTAGAGCAGCAGATGTTACAGAGGAACAAAGAGCAGAAATAAGATATCCTTCTTACTTGGTCAAAATGATGGGGAGGTTCCTGTGCTGTGAAAGAACACACCCAAGAAAACAGA